GGACTGGTCTCGCAGGTAAATTACGGAAAGTAAAAAAACTGCCGGCGTAATGTTCCATAACCCACTACTCGTTTCCGAAATTGCGAAACCAGGGAAGGAACGCCGCACGAAGCATTCTGTTGCTCACTCATCTAGCGCCAGCATTCTTTCTGTGCATCTGATATAAGCTCCATCATATCGTGAAGTACTTCTCGTCGGCCAAAGGCATTCGAAGGTTAGATTCTCAAGAGACGTAATTTAGCATTAATTAGGCATTTCATTCGTTAGTATTTCAAGTTTCGGTGGCACCTCCAAAACTTTTAATCCCACCAAATTATTCTCAGTATCATTAACGAGCGAGGAGATCACAATTCTTACTAAGGGTTGGTATGAACATCTGGCGACGCTTCAAACATGCACAATGTTGGCCAAATTATGCTAAGGAGGTAAAGGAATTAGTAATTGGTCGAATTAAAATATGTTGCGGAAGTCACTGAAGCTAATGTCACTATTGTGTAATGTTCATATTTAAAGGATGCTAGGTGTATCACTTTTGGACGATAGCATATATGCCCATAAAAACTGAGCATTGACATATTTTTTAAAAGTTGACACAATGCATCTTCCACCTTATGATATCAAAAGACTTGATGAACGTAAATTCTGCGTCTTGTGAGAATTTGCGGACATTGTCCACGACGCCATGTTATCATCTCGTTCGCGTGAGATTAATTTTGCTTTTATCAGCGACAATTTGTCCATATGGTATATAATTGGTGGTAAGCTTCTTTCATCGAACAAAACACAAGTTTGATGTTAAATGCACCTGCCTCAGCTGAATGGCGCTCAAAATTGGGGATAGGAAATCATTATTCGCTCATGTACCACCCACGTATTGCGAATGGACGAACGGGATTCAACGGGGAGTAACATTGCAATTTGCAGCAGATAGAGACTGATGACATACAATGAAGTAAGATCAAAGCAGCAGCTTGCGAAAAATCCTCTGGATTTGATGGATATTCACAACGTTATCAATAGACGTCTATTGCTACGCTCTGCTAGTACTAGGATTATTATGCATTTGCAAACTTCGGTGCCGCAAGTCGCCATCTAAAACTATGTTGTACATATCGCAATCCTGGGTTGCTTCTGCGCCGAAAGCGATCTATTCTATTAATTGAGATCAAGCTATGCTATACATTTATCGAGCCATCGTCTCTGGCTGATCGAAAGGCCAAATTTACTGAGAAAGCATCGAGCCATTAAATAGCCCGTTTGTTGAGGATGACCATGTTTAAGCAATATAACTAGCGTTTTAACAGTTTCAGTGTTGGTCAAAGTAGACGCTACACCAACCGTTGATGAATTGAAGTTGCGTCAGCGTAGCATGTGCAGTAGCACTGTTGTCGAGACGACTATGGTCGCTTAGTCAACATGCACGATAAAGCCCGCGGTCCGAGCAAAAAAGATGACGATTTTGGCAGTGAAGAAACTACGCAAGGCGATGCAAGAAGGCGGTTGATGCCGAACACAGCCTGCTGAAAAGACAATGTGATAAAACACAATGTTAGGAGAGACAGATTTGGATTGAATGAATACAATATACAAATCTAGGCGAGTCCCATTAACAGATTGAGAACGGTTAGTTACAAGCAAGGCGAAACATAAATTAAGATATTGAGCAGTCGCCCTTGAACAGTACATATAAGAAAGTATGGCTTCACCCCGAAAGTTTGAAATCCCGGAAGTGGATAGTAATCCCTTTAAAATGGCTGCAGTCGGAAATCTAGAACTACTAAAATTGATTGTGGGGCCAGATACAATCACGGAAGGAGGTGTACCGCTGAATGTGAATGCAAAGGATCCCTATGGATGCACGGCGCTGGTTTGGGCAGCTAGAAATGGCAATCATGAAGTCGTAGATTTTCTCGCGAACAATGGCGCAGACCCGGATGTAATCAGTTTTGGTGGTCTTCGTCCTCTACATCACGCTGTCAATCACTCGCAATTACCTATCGTCGAGCGCCTTATTCTACTTGGTGTTAGCGTCGATTCAAAGGACAATGCTGGCAACACGCCATTACATTTTGCAGCGTCCCGCGGCAATTTAAATATCATCATGCTGCTTTTAAATGCCGGTGCCAAAGTCAATATCACCACCTTGCAGGACGTTTCTCCACTCATGAAGGCTGTATCGTCTGGTCATATTACCGTTGTTGAGAAGCTCTTGGATAACGGAGCAAGCCCAGATCACTTTAACGCAGAAGGCAATACGGCACTTCATCTCGCAATTCGTGGTGGTTTCAATTCTATTGCAAACGTGCTTATGAAAGCAGGAGCCACCCCTACAATTCGTAATAAAGCTGGAAAAACGCCCCCAGAACTCGGTCTGTCTTTTAGTATTGAGGATACCAACAGTAAAAAGAAGCATTAACCATTTTCACTTTACTCATTTCCAAAATTCTTTTTAGGTAACAGCTTATCCCTATTTAACATTCGTAAAGAAAGACTATGGTGGCGCTGTTGGGTCTCGAAACGAAAGCCCAACGAGGAATCTTTGTCACGTATATGGGGCTGTGGGTGAGCTACGGAATGCTCAACGAGCTGGCTAAGCGTCAAAGTATACGCTTCAACTCAGCCTGCGCCGTGGTGCTGCAATCACAATTAAAGTTGTTACTGGCTACATACATGTACTTGACGTTAGATAACCAGGCAGCTGTACCGCTTGCCACGCGGATCCGCTTTTTGCTAGCTAAAGGCCAAGAACATCGAAAATTACTACTGCTCTATTTTGTTCCATCAGGGCTGTATGCGGTTTATGACGTATTGTCTTACATCAACCTGCGCGCATTCGACGCTTCCACTTACTTTCTGCTGTTGCAATTTCGGCTTGTGGTGACGGGAATTCTGCACCAGATAATGTTCTCGAAAAAACTAAATCGCAACCAGTGGGTTTCTTTAGGAGTGACAACACTGGGGTGCGCTATTAAAACGTTGGGTATGCGAGACTCAAATGCGTTTGCTACGCTAGGCGTTCATGGTAGCGGCCCAACGCCTATGGCTTACGGACTACTGTTAGTGCAGATGCTATGTAGCACCTTCGCAGGAGTGTACAATGAAGTGCTACTTAAGAAACAAGCTTCAATCCCGGTAAATCTTCAAAACGTGTTCATGTACCTTGATTCAATTGTCTGCATTATGGGGATGCTCATGTTAGGACTGACTGGCCAGACCGCTCAAGAAGCACTAACACTTGACAATCTCAGCGTGCTCGTGTCCCCTTACGTTTTTTCGATGGTGCTCATCATGTCATTGGTTGGAGTGGTGACGAGTGTCTTCCTTAAGCAGCTGGACTCGATTCGCAAAGCCATTGCCAGCGCGTTAGAGCTGGTTATTCTCCCGCTCTTGAGTGCTGTACTATTTGGCCAGCCACTAACACTATACACACTAGCTGCAGTATCATTCGTGGGTTTTGGTGTTTTTCTCTACAACCTACCAGTTGAGGTTACAGCAAAGACTACGCTGCCTCAGTACACCAAGGTGTCGTCTACTACAGCGGCCCAAGACAAGAGTGACACAACCGTTGCTGACAATTTGGTACAATAGCATTAGTCTCGTTTTTTTCGTCTCGGCATGTATTCGTAGAAGAAGGTCGGTAACTTCTGGTAGATAGAAAATTCGTCGGCGACGTCGTGCACCTTGACGTCTGGTTATCAAATACATGTTAAAGTCACGATTCCTTAAAAAAAAAAATTGTTTCGTACCGCAAGTACTTTGTCCCTGCGCATTGGTACCCAAAGGTGACGTGTAAAGCTCTCCTATCTCTTTGCCGTAACGGTCCCACAGTACCAGAATGAGGAACAAAAGAAAAAGAAAGAGCATCACCAGAGCGCTAAGGATCTTGATTTCCAGAGATACACTTAGGCGCAGAGTAATCCCCATCACCTCTGATATCTGCCCGGGTTCGTCCGTAGGCACGCGTGAGACGGCTATTGTCGCTGCAGTTACAGCTTGCGTTCCCACATCTGACACCGGCATCTGGTGTAACAAGCTTGCTAAGACAACGTTTTTACTTTTTCTACAGTCACACCTCTCTAATTGAGCCTCCAAACCTACAAACAACATAACAAAACATATTTCATCCCTCCCTCCAAAAATGGATATATATCTGGTAACTTCCAACGGGTTCGTCGTTTCATTCTCTCACATTGACGGATCGCAGAAACTTTTATTACTAATATCCTAATATCCTCCACAAACCGCTCGCAAAAAGCTCCAGACATGCTTGAAATCGCAATGCAACGTCTTATGAAGTAAGCTGAGATGACGGAGTGAAAACATTATGACATATAAATGATGTTAAAGTGCTAACGCATTCACGGCAAGCAGCCTGTGACACCGTCGTGTAAGGTGTATGGTGTATGGAGTCAGAGAAATAATGATACGTTTTCTTTCGCCAGCGTGGAGGCACCACAATCCTTTCCAGAATTATATTGCTGCCCGTGCTAATAGAGCAGAGCGGTAAAACTGCTGATGTCAGTTAGTCTGAGTACTGGATGGTTTCAAAAAAAATCATTCACGCGACGGTATTTCGTCAAAATATTTACACAGTGAAACAGGTTGTACGGGTGATGTAGAGTTCTGTGGAGCGCGTTGCATGTATCGGTAGACACCCCACCATCACGAACCAGACAATTTTCAGAATTTTGACAAGAGTGAGCTTTGCTTTGTACTTGCCCCCGACCAAACCTTGGCAATAACGAGCAGAAAACAAAAAAATGACGAAGGTTGCTTTACAACTGCGTTCTGTTGCAATGCCCAGCACGGGTAAGTTTGATGCAATCACAAGGGGCAAAACCGGGTGATGGATTGGTGATAGGCAATGAGTTCAAGCGACAAACCGATACATTTACTGTAACAGGATTGCACATTCCCTGGTAACAGGGGTTGTGTGTCACACGAGATGGCCATGGTGTGACCACACCCAAACAAGATTACGGTACGGGCTGGATAGTCACTTGTCATACATGTATTTAGATTTTACTACACATATTTAAGAGAATCTATGCATCTAAAATTAGGCGGCTTTGCCGCAGATAAAAATAGATAAAGTCACTTTGAATTTAAACGGAAGAACTAAGTAACCTTGGGTAAGGTTGTAATTTCTCTTGGAGTAAGTGGTTATTGTACGACCGGACGAGGAGATAAACTCGTCATCGCTTCTGGTTGAAGCTGTCTTGGAGAACACCAAGTGAGTGCTGAGCGCACGAAGTGGATCATCGATCCTACGGAATCCCTTGGATCCGTACTATCCTCTGGTAAAGGAATTTCAAGACGTCGTTTCCAAAGACCCACCTTTAATCCTACCTCCGGACCGAGGTGTGCATCATGAGATCGACCTGATTCCGGGAACCAAATACTGCGTAACACGCAGGAACAGTGCGACGTCATTGACGCCTTTTTCCGTGCGAAGCACAACGCAGGGATGGTACGTGAGAGCAATTCTTCCCATTCGTCACCCACGTTTTGTGTTCAGAGGCCGAACGGCAAGTGGCGCATCGTTCATGCTTACAATAAGCCGAACGTGGCCACCATTTCGGCACAGACACCGATTCCTAGAAAGGATATTCTTCAGAATAACATGGTGGGATGTACGAAGTACAGTGCATTCGACTTGGTCGATGGGTGTTACCAATTGCTCAGATAGCGAGTGATATTCCGCTGACAGCGGTGAGCACTCCGAGCGGCATGCTCTGGGAGTGGCTAGTGATGCCCCAAGAGCTGTCAA